ATGTCTCCTCTTCCGACAATCTTCAAGGTTTCATCATTAGCTAGATGAACCTTCCCAAAATCACCACTGACATAGTTCTCCATGATTTCTCAGCATGGGGTGGAGTGGAAAGATGCCCATGAATCCAAGATCCATGATTTAATCGGACTGTTGACGTTTAGAATCATGGCATCACCTGTCTCATCTGTCATGTTGGTAGATTCTTGTACGCCGATATTTTTCTTCGGTGCTCGGCAATCTCTTTTAAAGTGACATTTTTTGCCGCAGTTATAACAGGTAAAATCTTTCTTCCCCGTTCTTTATTTTTCCCTTCTGGATTTGAATCTACCACGATTTGAATTTCTTTCTGAAGTTCTCCCTCTGGACTCTGTGTGCAAGGCTGAGGAGGTTGATGCTTCACCCGATTCTCTCCGTCGAATTTCTTCGCTCAGTACCAGATCCTGAACATCGTCAAATTTTAATTTGTTGTTTCCCGACGAGCTGCTGATTGCTGTAACAGTAGCATTCCAACTGTCTGGTAGAGATGATAAGAGAATTAAAGCTCGAACTTCATCATCGAATTCAATTTCCACGGAACTCAACTGAGTTGTGATTGTGTTGAGTTCATTTAGGTGTTGAGCCACTCATTCCCCTTCCGCCATCTGCAAATTGAATAATCGCCTCATCAAGTGAACTTTGTTTGAGGCTGATGGCTTCTCATACATACTAGAGAGAGCCGCCATAAGACCCGCCGTGGTCTTTTCCTTTGCTATGTTGAAAGCAACATTGCGGGATAACGTAAGTCGGATAACTCCGAGGGCTTGTCTGTCGAGAAGAGCTCAGTCTCCATTCTTCATGCCCTCTGGTTGATTTCCTGGGAGATGTTGATATAGATTTTTCTGGTACAGAAAATATTCAATCTTCATCTTCCAAAAGCCAAAGTCCTCACCATCGAACTTTTCAATTTTCACTTTCCCTTCGTCTGTAGCCATCGCTTCCACTCGAATCTGGCTTCGTTTGGATTGTTTCTGACAATTCTTGAGAACCACCGTGTATTAGAACACCTCCGTCGATAAATTCGTATCGCTGACAAAATTTTTACTATTCACGAATTCACTATTCAGGTGAATAGTAATGAATAGTAATATCGTAAAAATTGACAAAATTTACAACCAAAAGCTCTGATACCAGTTATTGGGAAATAAACGAGTAAACAAGTAATTTTCCTATAACCAGATTAGTAAGAATGCGAAATAAAAGCGGAAAAAGAATACTCGAAAATTGATAACGAAGTTCAATCAATTGTGCTTACGTCTCTCGACTGCTACAGATCTTTTACTAAGAGAGAAAATTTACAGGTGTTTACAAAACACTCACTACTCACAAGAAACTCTCTAGTATTGAGAGAAAGAAATGATTTGGGATTTGGGATGATTTTGAAACTAAATGAGCTAGGGTATTTATAGTTGAAACTTAGGGACTAATCTTTGAAAATACCCTAAAGTGCAATGACTAAAGTGAATTTACTCATTTCTATTTTCAACAAACATCTACCAAACTTTACCAAACCACAGATTCCACCGATCCTCCTGCAACAAAACAAAACTAAAAATCATAAAATAAATATATATTGGATTTTAGTACCTAAACTGATATTGTTTTGGGTATTAAATTAATATATATCATTGTCGGAAAAAAATATATATATCCACATCATTATACGATTACATTTTAACGACTCAAACGTATAATTCAAATAAATATATTTAATACTATAATTAAAAAAAAATTAATGTATAAATAATACATCTCTTAAAATCGAATTGAATGTCATATTGTGGTATTCAAACGGCCCATTTTACACGAACATCGAACGACACAATACTATAAAAACCGAAGCCTTTTCCTCCTATATTTATCTACTTCGTCTCCTTGAAACATGCAGCTCTCAAACATGGCGTTCGACAGATCCGACCTGAATCAATCCTAACCGAGCAAGCTCCGATGGGGAGAGCTAGAAGAAGACGACGATCTGGATTCTGTTATCTCCCAAGGAAGTAATCGGACCCGATGAAAACGGGATAAAAAAAGTGATCGAATGCAAGTTTAACGATGAAGTCAATAAGGTGAAAATAACGAAGACGACCCGAGTCCGGAAACTGGCGAAGGCCCGCTTTAATAAACGGGCGTTGGAGAAAAGGAATTGGGAGAAATTCGGCGGCTCGGTGCGTGAAGATGTTGGGAGTCGGCTCACCATGGTTTCCACTGAAGAAATCATCCTCGAACGTCCTAGACCTCCTGGTTCGATTCTCATTCTTTTCCCTTTTTATTCTAATGCTGAATTGTATATTTGTTTATATTTAATATATATATATATATTTTTTAATTTGAATGGTATTTTAATTACTATCGACAATATATTTATCTGAATTCTGATTCAAATGTTCATTATCCGACTTCGATAATGGATTCTGAATCTGATTTCTTTAACTTCATTTATTACTAAATTAGGATATTTATTGGATTTCGAGCATCTGACAAATAATTTCTTTAATTTGGATTCAAATTTACGTAGTAATACTCAATTTTAATGCGGATAGTAAGCTAGTTCATATCTAAAGCAGTTGTTTCGGATCGGTAGTCCTGCTCGCGGCGGGGAATCTATGGTTAATTTGCGGCGGGTTTTAACTTTAAATATTATAATTTTTACTCTAAATATCTACACAAATTTCGATTATAATTAAAGCTGATACATTGTGTCGGATTGAAACCTAAAACGTAATTACACAATTAATAATAATTTCTAAGAATGTTCCATGAGTAATTTTATGATAACTTTTAGGATACTTTTTAGGTGGTAACCAAAATCCGATCCAGGTATGCAGTGAAAATGAATATATGGAGGTTGAAATGTTGGATTTGGGATGATTGATTGTTATATTTATTTTGTTGTTAAATTGCTATAGGATGTAAAATTATAATATACTAAATTGAAAGTTGTATTGGATAAGAAATTTGAATCATTCCCATGAACAAATTTGATAGAGATGATGCTTGAGATTAAGCGAATAGTATTGTCGGAGAATTAAAAGGTAGAATTATGATTTTATTGAATAAGAAATAGTATGCATTTGTATATGGAATTGCGAGTGTGCATGTATCTATTCTTCGAAAGGTCATGTTCGCATCCGACTATAAATGGGAAGTTTATACTTGAGAAAAATAAAGAATCCGAATAACATAAGAACGGAGTTTTGTTGGATTCATGTGGTTGTGGTGATCAGTTAGCCAATCACATAACTGGCTTTTTGTCACCGTGAAATGTATTCTCAAGCTGACCACGACATAAGCTTTCGAACTTGTTGCCATCCAAACATCTTGTCTGTCTGTCTTCATATGCTCAATCTTGGTCTTGATTTCTTCTTGCAAAACTGAATTCTCACCCAAGCATACGACTGACAAGTTAACACAATATAAGAGGTAAGCATATGGCTGGCGTTTCATGGGCACTGGTCGTGAGGCCACCAATAGCATTGTGTTTTGCTGGAATTCAATTGTTGAATCACGAAACCCAGAAATCAGTTTCGTGCCGAGGCCATAACCAACATTCAGGGACGTTTGCTTGTATCTATGATTGCAGACCATGTACTGATGTAATGTATCTCTAACTGAGTTGGAATTGTTGAAAGATGTTTGTAGTTGAAATAGCTGTAAATTAGGATGTTGTTTATACTGGTTCCAAACCGGAAGAAATGAAGGTAGCAGGGGACATCTTGGCTCAGCTCAGCAAAGGAGGTACTGTTCTCATGGTGTGCCGGACATGCGGTAAGAAAGGTGATCACTGGACTTCTAAATGTCCATACAAAGATCTTGCTGCTCCGGTTGAAACCTTTGTCGATAAGCCTGCGGCATCCGAGACCTCTGTGGCTGCTTCTGGATCCAGTAAGGGAGCTTATGTCCCGCCAAGCATGAGAGCAGGTGCTGAGAGAACTGCTGGATCGGATATGAGACGTAGGAACGATGAAAACTCGGTGAGGGTAACAAACTTATCGGAGGATACCAGGGAGCCCAACTTGCTCGAGCTATTCCGGCCGTTTGGTGCTGTAACTCGCGTGTATGTTGCTATGGGTCAGAAGACGGGTGCGAGTCGAGGGTTCGGTTTTGTCAACTTTGTAAACAGAGGATGCTCAAAGAGCCGTCAATGGTTACGGTTACGACAACCTCATCCTGCGAGTCGAATGGGCCACGCCTCGATCCAACTAGAATTCATGGCATTAGCATTTTTTTTTTGGGCATTGTCTACAATTCCAGTATCTAAAATTTTCCACTTTTACTGACATGGTTTTAATCAATATCTTAAATCTATTTTTTACAACTCTAAACTTGTAGCTTTAACTGTCAGATCATTATTTTGATATTAAAGAATGCATTTAAATATAAAATTTAATACAAATATTCAATGAATAGGTGAAGTTAAATTCTGATCTAAGTTATATCTATACAACTACGAGTCTCCTTTTCAAACAAAACTTACGACAATCAATTTCCTTCATTTTAACCCTCAAAATCTCTCTTTCATTTATATTTTAAAGTTTGAAAGAAAAAATTCTCCATAATTACACAACCACTTCAATATAGAATCGTTATAACAAGTTCAGTGTTTGACCATTTACACGACTACGCCGTACCTATAACTTCAAAATATCCTACAAGTTTGATTTGATTATTAATATTATAAGAATTAATATTTCTTCTATCTTATTAAATATATTTATTTGATCAACTTTTTTAATTTTTAATTATTTAAAATTTATTATGGATAAAAATATATTTAAAAAACCTTCAATCAGGTAGTTTTAACTATATATATTCTAAAAATTTAATCGTTTATAACATTCAAAATTATCATGTTGAAAGTTTAAAAAAATTTGACAATTAAAAAATCAATGAGAGAATATTTTAGAGTATTATATTATAATTTACATCATCAAACATGATAAAAATTTAAATAGAGTTACCTGTCAAATTAACTTCATATTTATTTATTTTGAATCCAACCTAAATCACTTGAAATGCCTCAATTTTCTTTGGATTAGCTTTTTATTCAGTTGCCCCATAAGCCAGGATAAAATACATTTCCACCTCAAGAAAACATAGTTTCATTTATACACAGTACCAAAACTCCATTTAAAGTTATAACTAACAAGTCAACCATGTAGATACATTTTCGATTTTATGTCCCGGAAACACTGAAAATACACTTACCTTCGCAGTCAATGTCTCCGAACTCGCCTGCCATTAGGATTCACTGATTCTACAGCAGAGCCTTCTGCTGCAAGATCCATCCCGTAGACACTGCTGGCACTCCTCTTCCGACTTGACAGCAGGCTTCCGCTCTCCTCACTGGATGCGAAGGCCTTCAACAGCTCTGACAACAAAGATGGGCAAGATTCCTCCAAGTGCCTGAAGCCTTCCGATTGCATTACCGCTGCAAAACATTGGGAATGTACATTAGTTTATGTGCCACCATGATGGGTAAATGCTTTCCATTGACCCCAGAACAAACAAATGAACAAGTGGTCAACAATTGATAGGCCAAGCTTAAGTAAAAAATATGTACTTGCAAAAGAATCAACTTCAAGAGGCAAATAATTAACTGGTCGTCCAAATAAAAATAACATTAATATGAACAAAATTTTGAAGTATGCTTTGAAAAATTTTGACCACAAGAATAGTGTGCTCTAATCTGTTTCTCAGCATTTCGCATAACAGTTTTTTTACCTACAAATTTCAAGTACCAAACCTGCTTGAGGGTGAAGGGTGCATCAACCTACAAGACGGCTTGGTACTTGAAAATTGAAATATAAGCATCCATCTAGAGTCGGACGTATCGGGAAAGCACGAAAAGGCTTCTGAAGTGCAAACAATACAAAAACCAAGTAACCAGGAATTTGCACCGATAGTATCTATGAACACGCACCTCCCAAGTTAGCTGGAGTTGCCGCAAATTTCAAACATATGGCCTTCAGTTGTGCACAGTGGTGCTGCTCAGCAAGTGCAAGGGTTGTTGCCACCGTGTCAGCATTAAGTTCTTCGCACAATTTTGCCTCACACAACACTTTGAGTCTATCTAAATTATACAGATCAGCAGCAGCCAAAAGATGTTGCACCATGTTGGTAGATGCACAAATAGATGTTGAGTCTGTAATTTCTCGTACATCAGGAAGCTTGTCGGTATAAATAAATAAGAGCATTGCCTGGAAGAATAGACAAGGGTAAGTATGAATTCTCGTTCACTTTGATTGACCAATAAATGAAAAAGCACAACCAGATAACAAGTATCTGTACTTGGCAATGGTTTAAAAAACAAGACCGTATTACAAACAGTAAGAACCCCCCAGTCACCAGTCCAAAAGGTAAGACCGGTTGAAAAGACTGGTTGCATTTAAAAAGAAATTTAAAATATTAAAAAATGTTATTATATAAGTATTAAGCATAACAACTATTTAATACTAAAGGGTACAGGTTTCAATATAAATTCTAGTTAAATGTTCAAATATTATCATCTATAATTTTTTCCATTAAAAAAATAAGTTCAAAACCATTTTATACAGGCTTTCCCTTCTTCCAGCTCGAAAGACTTGGTTATATGTACCGGGAAGGGCAGGCTACCAATTCCCGATTCAACCAACCAATATGGTCAGTTTACTTTTGGATCTTAACATCCAGGAAAATACAAGAACCGCAATTTTTTTGACTAATATTTAATTCAACAAATTATGAAGTACATTAATTCCAGGGCTTGCTTATGCAACATACTCAATTGTAGGTTCATTCCTCAATGTTCAAAAGAAAGTAAAAGGAAGAATCACCTTGAAGATAGAAGGCTCAAAATTCTTCACTAGTACTTTATCCAAGTTAGGGTCCCCAACAAGACCAAAAAACTGTGCTTTAAAAACAGGCGAGCGTGCAGCAAGGATCAACTTATGCGCTTTAAATGCCTCGTCTCCAACTTGAAAAATTATATCACAACCATTTTCAGACTCTAGCAAAGCTCTAAGATTCTGACCCATATCTGATGGTGGTACAGGAATAGAAGAAAGTTTTGGCCCCTCGAGGCAAGTTCTAACTACTCCAACGGTGCAGTTCATGATTAGGCAATCGTCCTTTATGTAGTCAGAACTTTCTAAAGTTGTTCTTCTATAGAATCGCTTGTAGCCCCTGATGAATGTGTGGGATAAAGAAGGTAAAAATCAATACCTTATCAAAATATGACCTGGGAATGTACAAGTTATGTGATTGTAAAAATTGAACATCCCACGGAAAGAATATTAAACTAAAATGTAGAGAAAATTAGATGCTTGTTGATATAACATGCACATGTTTCAACAACACAACTGAGCATATAACATTTAAAGTGAAATTACATGGAAATGACAAACAAGCGTTCCTTCATTTCCTTGTTTCATTCATTGCCTCATCGGTTCTAGTCCCAGGTTCACTTCTGTTATACTAACAGCTTCTATGTGGTTTTTAACTTATATGAGTTCATAATTCTCAGACACCTTAAATAAATTTCAGAGTAATGCTTAGATCCTCAAAAGTTATATAAGAGGATTTTCCGTAAATGTAACCTATCAATGCTTCCCAATTTCCATGTCCTAAAACAGCACCCACATTTCATATCCCCTATTGAACAGGCCTTGCGGGAAAAAAGAGCCACAACATAACTCAAATGTGCAAGTGTCAAAGATCTATACAATACAATTAGTATCCTATCAACACATACCTTAAACACGACCGTGAATTCAACAGTGATGAACAAATTTCTAAATCACCTTTTCTATCCGAATTCAACTACGCATATATCCGATTAATAATCACAATATAACTAAAAACAACGGGTGCCAAATAAATTATCAGATTCATTCTCCCAACATAGATATAACTAGAGTTTTAAAAAGAACATAAAATAACCCCTAAATTCTATATCTCAAAACTCTTACCACATGCTTCCTCTGTACTTCAATGTATAAGGCCCACTCTCCAAAGCTCTATCAAAGTGACTATGAACCTTATGCTTCCCTTTCCCGCTCTGGTCAACAAGGGTGAGCTCGAAAAGTGCTCGAACATCGGTACCTTCACTGGCCAGCGCAATGAAAACCGAAACATACATCGCACTATCCTCCGGATTTTTACCGTCGGGATAAAAGTAAATCGCCCAATCGTAACCTCCGACGGTAAAAACATCGCTGGATATACATTTCCCGGGACCCATCCCTTTCGCCAACGAATAACCCTCGATCGTGAATTGGTGTGACCCGTTCACCGTCTCGCTCACCGACCTGGATACCGAGTCCTTGAAACCTTCCATGTTACTATTCTTTCTTCTTTTCATCAAGTTCCCCAAAACCCTAACCCTAGTAATTTAATTTCTTTGGTAAATTTGGAGAAATTGTGATGATAAAATGTGTAATTGAACTGGTTAAGGGCAGGGGACGACGATTGTGGTGGCGGCAGCAGCACCGGAGGCGGCGGTGATTAAATGACCGGAGAGGAAATGTAAAAGGGATTTCTTTGATATTCTTTTTCCACTTTTTTCCTACTAGGAGTTTCTGGGTTGGTTACCAGCCATTTGTTTAAGCTATATACATTTAAAAAAAATAGTGGCAAGTTTTATTATGTAAAAAATAAATAATTAAAAATATTTATATTTAACATTTCAATCTACAATTTTTATCTAATACTAATCAATTTAAAACTCACTTAATAAAAATATTTAAGTTATTCATTCGGCTCATTCAATTTAACTAATATGATTTAAAATAATAATATGATCAATATATATAAGATCATAATAAGTAATTTGATTGAATTTTAGACTATTAAATATTATAAAACATTTCGATTATAATATGATGAAAGTATTAAAAAAATTTGATGCCGTTAAACTGATAAATAATAAAATATATAAGTGTGTTAAAAAAAAAAGTGGATGTCTCTATATTATCATCAAGTTTGGTTAGTGCTAAAGACCAGTTGACAAAGCAGTGAAAATGCTAAGAGTTAAAGATTAGATTAAAATAGTTAGTTAATCAAAGATCGAATTAATCAAAAAATAATAATATATTTTTAATCATATTAATTTAAATTTAATATAGATATTTTCTATTTTGATCAAATTTTAATTAGATTTTGATAATTTAATGGATCTAATATGATTAAAAAATAATTGGGTTTTAATTCTTAATAGTTTTGAGCTTAAAATATGTATTTAATATATATCATATATAATATTTAATATTTGTCTAATTCGGTTAATTAACTGATTTTGAATTGAATTAACCGTTAAATATTTTCTTTTGATTATTGTTTTAATAGCTTTATAATAATCTTATGTTAGTTTAGTTATATTTTATATTAATTTATTGAATTTTAATGTTATGCATTAATTTTTATGACTTTATATGTGTAACAGTCATCCCAAGTGATATCATTATATGTGTCACGTCACTAATTAAACAACCGTTAATCTTTTTTGAGAATACATATTCTGACATTTTTCGACGTTTTGAATCTGTTTTTGGGGTCGGTTTCACAAAATTCAAACCCAAAAGTCTCCGAATCGTCAGTCAAATCTGTTGACTTTGATTTTGACCAAGAATTCAGAATTTTGGAATGTCATACTTTATGTTTTTCGACGTCCTGAATCTGATTCTGAAGTTCGTTTTTTCAAATTCTGACCCGAAATTCCTGAATCGCTTGTAAACCCAAAAGGCTTAATATTTCAATATTTTGATTATTTATTTGAGAGTTGGTTAAGGAATTGATTCAATAAAAATATTTTATGAAGGTACTCGTGTTTCACCTGAGCAAGGATCATTTAGGTCCGGTGTTGTCCGTTCGTTAGATCAACCTGAACCGCGTACTACGACAATTACCCGCAGGTTTCCGTATATTATTTAAATAATATTTAGATTATTTATATTAGGTTTCCAATATGGATTTTTTCAATTCGTATGATCTAGCGCTGCAGCAGAGCATGATCGACAAAACCAGTAATAAGCTTCCCTATCTGATTTCTCAGACTGTTACAGGTGTGTTTCCTGACAGTGTTATCTTACAGTTTTAAACTATATATCTGAACTGGTTTATATTATGAGAATATAATATATTTTATGAGGAAATATCTGGTATTTTGAATAATGTTTATTAAATGTCTAATTTACCGTATAATTTTTATATGGTTTATAGTTATAGTATTTTTGTACATGATTTCTAAATATGGAACATTTCCATATTTAATGGATTAATTACCGTTTTTACTCCAATGCATACATGTTTATTTTTGTCATTGGGGGTATGATTGAAGGAAGTATTATCAGGTCCCTTATGTTGTGTGCGAAGGTAAGCCTTACAGTTTCCCAGGTCCCTTTGCTGTGTGCGAAGGTAAGCCTTACAGTTTACCAGGTCCCTTTGCTGTGTGCAAGGGTAAGCCTTACAGTTTCCCAGGTCCCTTTGTTGTGTGCAAGGATAAACCTTACAGTTTTCCTAGGCTCCTCTGCTTTGTGCACAGGTTAAGTCTTACTGGTGTATAGGTGGTGTACGGTTCAGGTGAACTTACACATTTTGGTGATTGGATGGGGGTAGTGTGCATATTATTAAAATATATTTGATAAATTATTTTATTTTATCTGAATTATTTTGTTATGTATGTGTTATACACTGTATGGGGCACACTGAGCTTTTTAGCTCATTCTATAGTTTTTACCTTTTTCAGATAACAACAGACCGTAAGCTAGCAGATTTGGTATCAGGGGAGATCAACTACTTATTTTGTACGAACTTATATCTCTATATGTTTTTCAGTTATGTTTGGTGACATGTATTTGCTATCGTTTTGGATATATTTGTATTAATACATTTTGTTCTGTATTATATTTAATGTATTGTAAGATATTTTAAAGAAATTAAAAAAATATATCTCTGAATAGGATATGTGACCACTTAGGTTTGGGTCTAAATTACAGACCGGGTCTAGGGGTTACATTTGGTGGTATCAGAGCTTTCGGCTTTAAACACTCGGACTGTATATAGGTCATAAACTTTGGATTTTTAAGAAATTTTGAAAAAAAATGTCACCTTATTTTATGATTTAAAATTTTCTCGAGATCCCTGATGCTATTCTGACATATGTTTCAAATTCTTTATGTAGAGCCTTATAGATCCAACGATGAGTGCTGCTAGAGGTCGTAGGACAGGACGTGGTCGTGGTCGAGGACGAGTCACTCGACCTTCTGTTACGATAGACGATCCGATGTCACCACGTGATCCTCCTATTCCACAAGTAGATCCGACTCTTTCTCATGATGATCAGTTTACTCCTGTGAGAGACCCTCCCATCAATGAAGATGAGGATACTGAGATGAATGAAGACGCCTAGAGCTATCTTCCGCATGTTTCAGAGAGCCGCTAGAGCCCCTAGTAATATGACTACGGTTGAGGTTTCAAATTCCTTGGTAGTTGCTGGTGTAGTTCCATTCGAGGGTATTACTGGTGGACCTCCGACAGACGCTGAGTATTGGTTAGAGGACATAGAGAGAATTATGGATGAGATGGATCTCAGACCTGAGCAGAAGTTGAAAGGGGTCCTAACTATGTTGAGGAAAGAGAGCTTCAGATGGTGGCAATCGATTTCTGGTAGTATCCCGAGAAACCAGTTAACATGGGATCTTTTTAAGACACATTTCTGGAGTCGCTATATTGGGGAGAGATATCTACAGAAGCGACGCCAGGAGTTTCAGGATCTGGAGCAAGGTAATATGTCTGTTATGGACTACGAGGTGGAATTCATCCGATTGAGCCGATATGCCCCTGGACTTGTTAACACAGAGGTAGATAGATGCTTGAGGTTTGAGAATTGACTCAGGTATGAAATCATGAGTCGAGTTGTTACCCACCGGGAGAGAAATTTTGATGCATTGGTTGAGATAGCCAAGACTGCTGAGGAATTAGAGCAATTGGGTATGGAGCTCAAGAGAGACAATGATCGAGCTTAAACCCGATTCAGGAGGCCTTCTGGTTCTGTAGATTATTCTGCACACCCCAACAAGAGAGGCAGGGGTAAATTCTTTCAGAGATGTGGTGCAAGTGTCAGGCCTGTGGCATCCGGTTCTTCAGCTGTACATCCTTCTAGACAAGGTGGATCTTCTGGGCTGCAACCTATACCGACACATGTGCACTGTGGAATATGTCATTATGGTAAGTGCAGTCTGAAATAGGGGATATGTTTTAGATGTGGTTCCAGTGACCATTTCATGAAGGATTGTCCAGAGCGAGATCGTTCAGTTCAGACGCCAGCTCGTACTCCCGCTAGTTCTCATAGTACAGTCCAGACTCCAGCAGGGGGTCGTGTTCAGGAGAGAGCATCTGGATCAACTAGTAGAGGCCGAGCATTTCAGAGTAGGGGTCCAGTCAGATCTGAGGCCAGACAGCCTGTATTGGTTTACACTGCCAGACTTTGACAGGATCGGGATGGGCCTAATGTGACTCCAGGTACTGTTACTATTCATTCAATTCCCTACTTTGCATTGTTTAATAGTGGCTCTACCAATTCCTATGTATCGCATTCCATTTCTGAGGGACTAAATATTCATGTTGATAATACTGAGCATTCGGTGATAGTTCAAAGTCCCTTAGGCAAGTCCATAGTATTGGATCGTATTTATAGAGAGTGCCCTATTGAGATCAATAGGGAGATTTTTCTGGCTGACCTGATGGAGTTACCTTTAGAATAGTTTGGTTCGATTCTCGACGTAGATTGGTTGGACAAACATCGAGTAAATATTGATTTTAAGACTAAGAGAGCTGTTCTGAAGACCCCGGATAATCGAAAGATTGTAATGATCGGAGATCGCCGTGGATTTCTGACGAATGTTGTATCTGCGTTGGTAGCTGAGAAGATGATCAGGAAAGGTTCTGAGGCGTTTCTTGCTTGTATATTGGATACCATAAGTTCTCAATCTGATATTGAAGGCATCCGGATTGTTAAGGAATTTCCCGATGTTTTTCCCAAGGAATTGCCTGGATTACCTCTGGATAGAGAAGTTGAGTTTGAGATTGAAATCTATTCAGGTTCCACTCCGGTTTCAATGGCTCCTTATCTTATGGCCCCAAAGGAGCTTAAGGAACTGAAAGTTCAACTTCAGGAGTTGTTGGACAGGGGATTTATCCGACCCAGTATATCACCGTGGGGAGCCCCAGTTCTCTTTGTCAAGAAGAAAAATGGGACATTGAGACTCTGTATTGATTATAGGAAACTAAACAAGCTCATGGTTAAAAACAAATATCCTCTGCCCAGGATTGATAATCTATTTGACCAATTTCGAGGGGCTTCTATCTTTTCAAAAATAAACTTGAGGTCTGGTTATTATCAACTTAAAGTGAAAGATTTGGATATTCCGAAGACTACTTTTCGAACTCGGTATGGGCATTTTAGTGATGTCGTTCGGGTTAACAAATGCCCCTGCTGCTTTCATGGATCTGATGCATAGGGTGTTTCGACCTTATTTGGACCAGTTTGTAGTTGTGTTCATTGATGATATACTGGTGTATTCTATAAGTGA